TTTTTAATTCATTCTAAGGCCGGTATTCATAGTCGGATCTTGTATTTAAGATCGTCTTAAGTTTATCTTCAGATCATGTGCGAGTAATTTTATTGGCTGCAAAGCATCTGAAGATAAACTTAAGACGATCCTAGATATAAGATTCGACTGTATTTTGAATACCGGTCTAAATCTCTTCAAGATTTGAAAAATTTAGATTTTTTGATGATATTTCAATCTTGTGTATTCAAGTTTTATCAAATAGCAGAATACCTACATGTATTACTTACGTGTTATATTAATCGACATTTTGATTAATTATTTCTTGCGAAATAAAATTATTAGAAATCTACACACATACGTTATTTTTTTGATGTAAGTTTTATTATTTCGGACGCGATAAGCGATTTTAAGCGAAATGAGGTCGCGCTACATTAGTGATATTTTAACACGATTCGACACTATCTATTCACATAGATGATTTCTAGAGAGACAAAGAGAGAGAGAGAAGTATTTCTCGTGCGTAGATTGAAGCGTACGTGACTGTTAGTAATTCCCGCGTAATTAAGAGTATAGAACAGAGTCTATAGTTCTATCTGCTTTATAAATCCACTTCACAAGAAGAATGGAAAATTTTGCTGTCAACATTTCTCGATGTTGTTGTAATAGGAGAATTCGATTCGAAATCTCTACGGGATTTTCGATTTTAATTACCTGTTCGAAGTTCAGATTCTAATTAGACCAGTTTTGAAATATTTCGAATGAAAAAAGATCTTCAATCTTTGATAGTTTTTTTTTTTTTATTATTGTTCAACTATTATATAATGATTGTAGAGATTAAATACTTATTGTGTTAATAAAACTGTAAGTTTTATTTTTCAGTTACGTAGAATTTATAGATATAGATAAAAGTTTATTTTTAAGTTAATTTAATATTTAGTTTAATTAGAGAAGTTAAATTAAAGAAATTAAAGAAAGAAGTTATATTAAAAAAATAATATTTGTATTAAATTTCAAGGTTTTATTTAAAGTTGCTTGTCAACAAGAATTTGAATTGTGCGATTTATAATTTATTACACTCAAAATCACATTACGCAGATATATATAGATTCGAATTTATTTATGATCTTTCTTTAATTATCTGTTAAGTGTCTTGTACGTTGTATATCATAAATTTGTTATTCTCCTGTTGTAAAGATGTTTTAAAACACAAAATGATAGCTTCTACAAATGTGAGATAAACAAATAATATCGAGATAGTATTTTATCCCGACGGTATCTCTGAATGTGTGAGTACGGGAATAAAAGGTCATTCATTTTGTAAGAGAGCGGCCGGCATTCGAGAGAACGTTTGTCGGGAGGATGGTCCGCGAAGCTTTCAACATCCGCGAACAAATTTCCTTCGCAAACCGCAAGCGAATCTTCGCGTGACACACTCGGGAAATAACCTAATCTACCCTATTTGGAAACTACAAAATTGCGCGAGGAAAAATTAATCGCGTCAGTGTGAGGGTCGCGTAGAATAAAAGTCGTATCGGTTAGGCGGAACGGAGCGAGAGAGATCAGCGAGGTCTGCACGTTCGCGTATGAAATATATATTTCATTTCGCACAAGGTTATCAATATGTCGTGCTCGAAATATAACTATCTCGATGATTGATTATCCCTCTCCTTTTCACTTTTGCACGGATACTTTCTGTAAAGTCTATCAATCTAATCGGAAATTTGTCTTCGTTACAACATTTGTTTTTTTCCATCTTACGAAATCGCGTGTTAATCGGACTTTCTCCCGCGAATAATCCTTGACACAGGAGGATTTAAATAATTTTATATGAGATATATAAACATTAATGGCAACGATGTTTATGTAGAATGTTAGACTTGTGTGTTTGCAATTGAAATCAATCGCTTATTTAATAGTTAGAATAATAAGTCGCATTAATTCAAGGTTTTTCTTTAACATAAATAAGTAATTCGAGTTTTGTTATTTACTTTTATATCTTTTGACTGCTTTTAGTTTTTTTTTTTTCGAGAGCTTTGTAATTTAAAAACCAATTATATCAACGTAAACCCACACACAAATTACATCGTTAACATAATTCAAATTTATCTCCCAGTGAATGAGAGGATCATTTTATCTCATCGAGACATGTTTACATAACATAGTGCCAAAAATTCTTAGACTTAATTTAAAGATTAATAACAATGATATTTAACATACAAAGATGTTTTTGCGGGTTTGAACAGCGTTAGTGTCATTTTTATACCGACGTTTCGTGAACATTACAGCTCACTTCATCAGGGTTTGAAGAGCAGCCTGATACTGTATCGTCGGTATAAAAATGACACTAACGCGGTTCAAACCCGCAAAAACATCTTTGTATGTTAATACTACACACCGCGAAAGCATCAAATACCAACAATGATATTTGATAAAAAAACAAAAATGCAATTTATTTATACGCTGTTTTTGATCTGACGCCACTGCCGTAACATGATTATACGAACAAAAAAGCTGCCGCTCAACTGGTCAAGTGATCGATAGTGGTTGGTGAAGGGATAGGTGGGGAAGGAAGGAGTACTGTGTCAATTAGACTGCCTACAGTGACGGTTATCTGTCTGTACAAGCGACAATATAAGCGAGAAGGGATCCTCGCTTCTCGTTCTGGACAAGATGTTTTCTCTTTCTGTCTGACGCGTACACATCTATAGGATGTTTTATTATCGCTACTGTTATTTCTATTAAAAAAAAAAAAACCGAATTTTCTCACGTAATTCTCGCGATTGCATTTTTGTCGTCCCGATACGAATATTGAAAAACAGTCTTGAATAATTAAAATAATTATTTGCTGAGATTTTCNGCAAAGAAAGACAAAGAAAATTTTCAACACATCTAAAAAACATATCTAAATATATCTTTAAAACATATCTAAGTTTATATATATATATGTATATAAAATATACATATATGTATATAAAATATTTTTATATTTTTTATATTTTTATATTTTTATTAGTATATTTACAAATATACATATATGTATATAAAATATAAAAAATATAAAAATATTTTATATACATATATGTATATTTTATATACATATATATATATATAAACTTAGATATGTTTTAAAGACATATTTAGACATGTTTTTTAGATATGTGTTGAAGATTTTCTTTGTTTTTCTTTGCGGAAAATCTCAGCAAATAATTATTTTAATTATTCAAGACTGTTTCAATATTATATAAACGTATATAAATGTATATAAAATAAATAAATGTATATAAAATATACATATATGTATATAAGATATACATATATGTATATTTGTAAATAAACTGATAAAAATTTAAAATTTTATATTTTGTTTACGAGAAAATGCTCGTGTGAGTGAAAAACTGCAATATGGATGATTATTTTTCTTGACAACTTTATTAACAATGAGTCAAAACTCGATCGAAGATTTTATATCGAGAAAATCATGATGTAAAAAAAAAGTGAAACGCTTTATATGCGTCGCGACAACATGGCGCAGTCTTTTGGAAAGTTTCTTTTCTGAAACACTCGTATGTGTAGCGGTTTTTTTTTTTTTTTATCATTTTCTTCGATCTTACGTGTTTTCAGCCGCTTGCACTGGGATATTGTGTTTTGTTGTCAACGGCTTCAAAAGTGCGAACAGCTTGACAAAATGTTCGAGAAAATTTGTCACTTTTACGATCGTGTCGCAAAGATCACGGAGATCGAATGAAGGACGTGTTTTGCGTCTCTGTGTCGCTCGATCTCCGCATTCCGTGCAAGTCGAGCGGATTTGTGGCGATTCCGTCCGAAACAGAAGAAACTGGAAAAACGCCGCATAAACGGCTTAACTGTTGATTTATCGCACTGACATACATACATACATACGCACACAGTGGCTCTCTTTGTCCTCTTGGAGCGATATTAATTGGGGATCGCGTTATCTTCCACACGATACGAGGAATGTCAGCACAATGGCCGATTACCGAGGCATTCAAATTACCGAACAGACGCGATCTAAAAAAACTTAGATGATATTTTATATATATTCATCGTGTTTCCCACTAAGTAAGAATTATATTTGTTAACTCTTACGCGACTCTTTCGAAGGTCGCTCCAGTCATCTTTGACGTCAGAAGCGAAAGAATTTATACGCGCGTGTCATTGTTGCACCAAAAAAAGAAAAGCGTATACTTTTACGAGCGTGTTCTGTCGTGACGAAAAACATTTTGTTGTACGGAAATAACTTTTGTTTCTTGCAGATATTTTACACACAAGCGTGAATTTTTTCTCGTTTCCGACGTTTCATAATTGAAAAAAACGTTTTTCAGCAACAATATAATCGTCTCAATACTGTTGTAACAATAAAATTACACACCGCGCGCAATAATTACAGCAGTCTCACGTGTAAGATGTACCCAACGTTTTAATTGTGCCGAAAAGTCGGATTTAGATAAGATAATGACACGTGAACAAAAAAAATAAATATACCATTTAATCTTTATTCGAATATTTTTTTTGATAAAGAGCTTAATCATCTTGTATGTTCTTATATATTAAAAGTTCTTCAAAAGTACATCAAACATTTCAAATGCAATAGCCGAGTCACACTGTGTGTTATTGTTTTTTTCCAAAATGAACATCGCGCTAGACTATCAGATCTCTGAGATCTCTCAAACAAAAAATGTTGCGATTGGAGAAAATTGTCGCGACGAAATTATCCGAAATGGCGAAAAATCGCGCACGAATATGATAGAGTATCGTTATCGGCGTGATAACGATCGCACGGAGCGTCCAGCCGCGCTGCAGGGAGGAGCAAAGCTTTACCTTAGCTTTGCTACCGGGCTTTAGTGTTGCGCGAACCGTGAAAGTGGTTCGAAAAGTGGTCGATTATCACGAAAGGAATATGCTACGCTTTTCGTGGACGGACGGACACGATTGTGGCTGAAATCTCGAGGAAACGGAAAAAGAAAACGAGATTGTTGACATCCTCGATTAGCCCGTTTTATGATACCAGTTTTTTTTGTTTAGCTAAAACAAAATTGAGAAGCAATCGATCGAGAAATAAAAGAGAATTGAGCGAGCAATATCGCCGATGCAAGAAATAATAGAAAAAAAATTGCACGGTGTGGTCGTTACCTCGGAAGAATATTGAGAACATTTACGTTCGGTTGGAGCGAAACATGCGAAGAAGCAAAACGATTGTCGTCAAAAAAATGAACGAAAACAATCGCAATTATTGAATCGAGAAAAAACATCGAAAGGACGACAAAATTACAAAGACGCGAAAGTATACATCGGGATAATTTTTGGTTTTTCTGTGAACGTTGTTGTGTTTCTACGTACGTGTGAACCGAGAGAGCGAGAAGAAAAGTGCGTGTCCTCTGGAAACAGACGAGAAAAATAAAGAATGAAATATAACAAACGATGTAAAAAGAAAGCGCAGACAAAAAGAGAGAGAGAGAGAGACATTTTCAAAACGTTTGATTTATAAGAATAAGATTAAATATCGTCTCTTATATTTCTTTGTCTCAATTCTTTTTCACAGTTTTGTTTCTTTTTATTCCGATTTTCTTTTATTGCGAACAATTCAATCGATCACGTGGACTAGATGTGACTCAGATAAGATCTTAATAATGAAAAGTGAGAAAGATGAATGCGCGTGAGATAAGAAAGAAATTCAAAATAAAAGTGCTTTTTTGGACGAAAAACTAAGTGTCGCAAAAACTTTGTGATATACGAGTTAATAGCGTTTTTTTTGTTTTTGTCTTTTTTTTTAGTAACGACACTTCTTATCGGAAAAATAAAGTGCACGTGAATTGAGATGAGAAATTGAGAGAGCGCAAAGTTCTCTCACAATTGACGCAAGTCGATTCACGCGAATGGGGCCGACTTTGAGTAAAAAAAAGGAAGACGATAAATAAAGTGAAAAAAAGACTTTAAAATAAAAAATCTAAGAACATAGTATCAATAATACAATTATCATCTCAGTATAAGTAATATAATTAAAACGTAAAGATTTTTATGGCACAGCGCAAACAATTAAAATATAGATCCAATTAAAATTAATAGCAGACAAAAAACAACAAAGAAATACAAAAAATTGGGTAAGTGGAAAGTTACAATTAAAATTTCATAAATAATCGCGAGTGCGCAAAAGAAATTGGTCAAGAATATTACAAAGCGGCGAAGAGAGAGAAGCAAGAAGACGCGTGGTAAGAAAAAAAAAGGGAAAAAAATTATTCCCCTGACCAGAGAAGAGATGAATGTGCGTTTGCACGCAGCGGGACATGGCGGGGAAGTGGAGGAAACGAAGGGAGAAGAAGTTCTCTTCTTCAACAGCGGTTGTCAGCAGCAACAGGGTCGTTGCGCGGATTCGTATTACGGTTGGATCGACAAGGCGTTGGATTACGCGAGTTTTGACGAGCGTAATGTGACGACGAGTCGAAAAGAACTTGATTTTTCGTTGCGCGAATTGCAGACGAAGCCGGTGCACTGCGATTCGGCGACCTTATCCGACAAGATGGCGAACGTCTTGCCCGGAGTCAATAGCGCCTCGTCCTTTCCCATCGTTACGTCATCGCACACCGACGATAACGGCAGATCGCGAGTTTTCGACATCGAAACGACATCTCGCTTGACGGCGAGAGCCTCGTCGTATGCAATCGGTGCGGGCAGTTGCAACGTAGCGTGCAACGTTACGTCAGCGTTGTGCAATGTTGCCCAAACGAGCGCCAACTGCAACAATTCGGAAGCGATGTCGTTCTGTCGCGACGACGGCCAACCGACGGTCGTCGTTTCGCAGGAAATCTGCCCGATGATACCGAAGAATTGTCAGTTGGGCCCGATCGACGTCGAGGATCTCGCGATGTACTTCGACTCGTCGACGGATAACTGCAGTAAGCCGTCCTCGACGACGAGCGGTCGCGCGAATCATTTTAAGAAACCGAGATACGGTGGACCGAAGGAGCAATCGTGTCAAGATCGTATTGTGGCGCCGGAAGGCAATCTGAACGATGCTTATAATTTGCGTCCTTGCGATCTAACATCGAGCGACTTGCGAAACATGGAATATTCCGACTCCCGTGCTTGTCAAATAGAATACAACAACGTTTTGGATCTCAACGATCCGCGATCCCGCCGCGATCCAGGCTGTCACGACGATCCGCGACTGTACGATTCGCCGCCGCGAACGTGCGATCTGAAATTCAATTATTCGCGATCCTGCGAGTTCGAACGTCGCTGCGACGTTCTCCGTCGCGATGTGGTTGGAGATACTCTCGGACGGAATGATCCGAGACCGAGCGGCAATTGGTTCTGCAACAACTGTCCGGAATTGTTCGAATTTTGCAGCGAAGAACGGTGGCTGCAGTGCCCGGCGAGCGATCGCTGTCCCCTTTACCACAACAATATTTACGGCACACCTGTTCTACCACCGTGTGTGTACAAGAATCTGCACACTGGCTACGACGATAGCTGGCATTACGGCTATCCGGAAGACGAACAATTTCTCGAAGATTACCTGTAAGTCGGCGATCGCTCGATCGTCACGACGATAATAATAATAAAATCTTTATTGAGCATAAAAAAAAACTAAGGATTTCGATGTTTCATAACTTATTATGTAGAAACAACTTTTTATGCAGATAATAAATTTACTCCATCTTCTAAAAAAGTTTTTAAAATGCTTCAAAATTGTCTGAGTTTAGTTTCAGTTATAGTTTTGACTTTTTTTAACATTTAATTTTTAACGTATATCTTCAACGTAAAATAAAAAACAACTCTTTTTATGTAGATAATAAATTTACTCCATCTTCTAAAAAAGTTTTTAAAATGCTTCAAAATTGTCTGAGTTTAGTTTCAGTTATAGTTTTGACTTTTTTTAACATTTATTTTTTAACGTATATCTTCAACGTAAAATAAAAAAAAATAAGATTAAATTTTGTTAAACCAATGCTATTTTTTAATTGAAATTCTAGAGATTTTATATACAACAACCGTGATAAATATCTTGTTTCTCTGTGGGGAATTCTCTGACTCGTTAAATTATATTGAACGGTTTTGTTAAAGTAAACCAATCAGGTTGACTTTGACTGGTTTAAACCGATAGCGGTAGGAGGAAGGTGAAAGAGAAAAACGTGAGAGATCGTAGGATCGATTTCGAAAGACGTATCGTTCGAAGGTCGGTTCGTCTCGATGATAACGTCTCGCTTCGCGATAACTCGTCGACATTTTCCCGTCTCTCGAAAATCAAAAAGATGCACCGTTCTGTGTCGTCAACGGTTGCAGTGGAAACAATAGCTGTATCAAGCACGCTTGCTGATACAGACACTTCAGTATTTTTTCGCGACGAGCAATCTACTTTCTCTTGTTTCATTTTCAAGCGAAATAAAATCTGACGCAAGAGAGAAAAGAATTATTTTTTTTTTTTTTTTTTTAACACATTTATACGCGGTTCGTTAGAATTTTATATTTTTTAAGAAAAAAAAAATATTTTACATTCTCGCGTAAAAACAAAAAAAAATACACAACTCTTTCTAAGCAACTAATTTAAGTTTTTTAAAGTTCGAGAAATTAGCTCTTTATCTTTGTATTTCTATTTAAATTTTGTTTTTCTCACACACGCCATACACACACGCGCGTACACGTCATATATTTGCATGTAATTTTCCTTGAATGAATAATATTAACGATCGTTTTGAGAAGCGACTATGTATATATTACAGCATGCGATAACTGTGTTTCTCTCGTATATATTTAATCGTAACTCGTATTAAGTGGACAAACGGCAACCTTCTAGATTCAGGGAACGAGTTTTATCGTGCGCGATAGTATAAAATATCCGACGTGATATTACCAACTTGTGTCACGAGGTACTTCAGGATGTTTGTTTACGCAAAAGAAAGCTTAATAGAAGATAGGATTAGGACGAGAGCTCTCGTGTGTGTGATTCATTTTACTTTTTTTTTTTTTTGCTTAAAAAGTATATATTGAGCTCGATAAGAAGTATGTGTATATACTTTGTATATAGATATAGGAGATGTACGTACTGTATTTCAAAACGACTTTTCGTATCAAATCCAATGTGAAACTTGCAAGTGATTTTCACTTCTTGACGTTTTTTTTTTTTGCACGATTAGGGGTAAGAGATACAGTGATTGGCCACTTAAGGAAAACTGCACTATATAGAGTAAATTATAAAATTAAATTTAATAACTTGAAGTAAATCTTCAGTACTACTAGCTCAAACAAACTATAACAATTGCAAATAAACTAATAAATTTATTAGAAAATTTGAAACATTATTCAAAATTTGATAAAATATTTCCTATAGTCAAAATAGACAGTTATTGGCTATATGAGTTCTGTTAGTATCTGTTTACATAACAGTTATCATAATAAATTTTTTGTTTTGACTTATGAAAATATAGTAATAAATATTTTCTTTATAACACATTAAAAACTAACAAACCTACTTACATTTGTATCTATAACTCAAAATAAGAGGCCAATGACTGTCATATGGTTTTCATAATCTTAAAAACAGTGATTGGCCAGTTGGTTTAATGTTTGTCGTATAACAATAAGTTTTTGAGCTTCTTAAATACTATAATATTACTTTTATTCGGAGCAAAAAAACTTAATTAATATTAAAATGTTTATAATTTAGAATATAATGATAGTATTTATTTATATTTATTACTTCTTTACTACATGGCCAATTACTGTTGGGAGGCCAATAACTGTACTGTTTAATAACCTAATTGTTTCTCGCAACGTTCATTTTACATTGCATTTTGATAAAAAAAAAAGAGTAAAAAGTGTGTGATTTTCTCAATAAGTATTTTCCAATTTGATAGGTAAATTGTGTGCGATATATAGGACCGTGATTTATTTCGCGACCGATATAAATGCGCTTTTTAAACAAAACTTTTTCTTGTTGCAGGAGCAATGAAAAGAGGAAGGAGAGATCTCGCGATGCGGCGCGTTGCAGACGCAGCAGAGAGACCGATATTTTTGCCGAGCTTGCAGCCGCGCTTCCGGTTGCGCCGGAACAAGCAGCGCACTTAGATAAGGCCAGCGTAATGAGACTGGCGATTGCCTACCTCAAAGTTCGAGCCGTCGTAGACTCCAGTGAGACTCTACAACATACTTTGAATTTATAATACAAATACATAACTTCCGTTTTATTCACATTATGATGTATCATTATTTTTATTTATTTGTATATCATTGATTCCGTGATGTTGTTTTTTTTTTTTTTTTATTTTAAATTGGACAAATCGAACAGTTTTGAAAGTGTATAATTTTAAAATATATAAAATCTTTATTCTCTCTTATGAGATCTAAGATCTTCGAGTGATGTGATACACTGGCTAAATTTTCGATTTTTTTCGTTAATGCAAAGTTCCAGCCTCGCTGGCGAAATCCGAGTCCTCGGCAAAACTGGATGAATTATTTCCGAAAGCTCTCAATGGCTTTATGTTAGTACTCTCCAGTGACGGCAATATGGTTTACCTCTCGGAGAATGTCAGCGATTATCTCGGAGTGTCACAAGTACGAATGTAAACACTACTATAATTAGNAAAAGTAAAGTAAACACATGAACGATTACACGAAAGTATCTTCTTATCAAATTGTTTTGTAAAAATAACTATAAATACGTATGAGATTTAATATGTTTTTTAGTACGTGTGTTTGTTTTATAAAGCAACGCCCGCGGCGCACAATAATTTTTTTCTGCTAAATCGCAATCGGAATCGACTTTTTAATCGTCATTTCAAAATCACAAAGTTGCAAAATCATCATGGTGCCCGCATGTATATAAATAAGAAAAATATTGTGTGCCGCAAGCTTCATTGTTTTGACATACATATCGAATAACAGATATTTCTAAAACACAGAATTTAATTTATATAAAGAGATACTTGGACAGGAATGAAAAATTTTAAAAATTTATCAACACACATTTCATTTTTTTTTTTTCATAGAATCTTTTAAATTTATTTGCGGAACAATTTAAATCTGACAAATTTTAAATATTTTTTTCTTTTTTCTCGCGGGTTTTGCGTAGATGGACATGATGGGACAAAGTGTGTATGAATATAGCCACCCTTGCGATCATGACGAATTGCGCGAGTGCCTCTCCGTGAAGCCTACAGATAATAGTAAGAAACGTGCCTGCAACTTTTTCCTGCGGCTCAAGTGTACCCTCACCAGCAAAGGCAGGAAGGTCAATTTGAAGAGCGCCTCTTACAAGGTTTGAACCAAAAAATTGAAAAAACAATGTATATAGTTTTTACGAATAAGATCTAAATTACAATGCGCGCGAAACAAAATGTTTGTAACTGCAAAGTGTTTTTGTAATATATTATCTCATATTTTTGTACAACAGTTTTCTAAGCGAGAAAGAATTTTAGAATTAAATTTATAAAACTATCTGATAAATTACACATACTTGTGAATAAAAAGTGATCGTTTAATATCCATTTTAACTACCATATTAAATAAATATTAAATATATATTTTTTTAATTTTATTTTATTTTAATCTGTGATGATGTTGTTTTATTACGGGTTCTTAACGAAATTAAAAAATCTCTTGTTTAGCTCGGGCAAGTTTGAACCTGTGTGCAGGATGTTGTGCAAATAATTTTAAATCAATGTGATTAATCCAAACGTTTCGGTTTATTCTATTCAAACCATCTTCAGTGGAATACTGAAATTTACATTTGTTTACATTGGAAATATATTTTTATACAATTAAAATAGTTTTACAAATATAGATGTCACTATCCAAATTTTCATTGTATTTACTTTGTAAACCTCCAGTCCTGACACAACAGTGACGAAGCTTGACATACACACATACAATGACTTTCTAATTTTAAACCTTTGACAACGACAATTTTAATTTTAATTTATACTTCGTCAATGAAAATCAGGAGGGATTGTTCAAATAAAGGTACATTAACTCTTTGTAATTCTTTATAAAACTATTTTAATTGTATAAAAATATATTTCCAATGTAAACAAATGTAAATTTCAGTATTCCACTGAAGATGGTTTGAATAGAATAAACCGAAATTTTTGGATTAATCACATTGATTTAAAATTATTTGCACAACATCCTGCACACAGGTTCAAACTTCCCCGAGCTAAACAAGAGATTTTTTATTTTATTTAGTTAAATATCTTTCTAATATTCTATTTTGCTATGTTTGTAGGTGATTCACTGTACCGGCAGATTGACAAACATTCGCGACTCGAACTCAAATTCTATAGAGGTTGATGACGAAGAACGTGAGAAAGATGATGATTCCGCTGAACACGACACAGGTGCTTCTTTAGTGCTCGTGGGTAGTCCCATACCCCATCCGAGTAACATCGAAATACCTCTGGGACGCCATACCTTCTTATCGAAGCACAGTCTCAGTATGAAATTCACCTACGCCGACGAGAAGTAAGTTCGTGGCACATTATTTTTTATTGTCTTTTCCACGACCGTCGTCGGCAACTATCGCGCAATTTGACACACCTTTTATTTTTCGCGCAAAAAATTATTTCGAAGACAGATAAAAACTTGACTTCTCGCTTCGATCTTTTTGATTATTCGTTTAGCTTGCATAATACTAAACGCGCAAGATTGATTTAATATTTTATCAATCTTATCGTTCGATTAAATTGGGCCATTTTTATCGCACAACACATAAATGTAATTTTTTCCCGACACGTAACACAATAAATATATATATATATATATATATATATATATATATAATATTTTGAAAACAAGAGTGTGTGTGATAACTTTTATTATTAAAACTGTTTTGTTACTTATATCGGTTGGTTTTGCGTTTCAGACTGGCCGAATATCTGGGCTGGGACAGTGAAGAACTGGTGGGTCAATCGGTCTTCGAGTTCCATCACGCGCTCGACAATCTGGCACTAGACAAGTGCTTCAAATGTCGTAAGTATCCTTTCCTAAAACTTCTCGTCTTTTTTAATGATTGTCGAGTTTTTCTTAAATTTATATATTTAATTCAATTATACACGAGAATAATATACGGAAGACAAAAATGTAATTTCGCGATGACTAAATCGAGGCGCGGAACAGTATAAACAAACGCGTATATCAAAAGAAATTGAGAAGAAGGGAAGAGAAAGCGTGTCGCGGATCGATCAGGGTGAATGACACGACCGAAAAAAAATCTCAAGGACGATCTTATCTCTTATTGCGCTGTTACCCGACGAAGACTTTTTTTTTTTTTTACGGCTACCACCAGGGACTAAATCCATAAGCGGTTAACGTTATCGTCGGTTACCGGTTGTGCAATTATTACGTTCTACCGAAGTGTTCACTGCACGAGTGTCGCGAGCGTTTCTTTCTCGCGTCTCATCTGATTATGCGCAAAATTGTCGATAATGAATAAAAAAAAAAAAAACGTGAAGTTCAGCGCGAAACGAACTGCGCGAGGTCACAAGAAAGCCGTGTCAAGAGATACGTGTATCGTTTGACAGGTATTTTACATTAAGATATCGAACGTCACCCTAAGATATGCGCGGAACGATTACATTACACGCGCTGAAAAAAAAGTAACAATTACACATTGCATCAGATAAGAGAAGTATCTTCTTGAGGAAATTTTTATCTTGGCGATTTGTTTTTACGAGTATCCAAGAGAGAGAGAGAGAAAGATAATCGGTAAACGCTCGACACGGGAAGAAGATGTACGATCGTAAAGCGAACGATCTAGGACCGTTTCGGAAGAGCGATTCACGTGATTCGAACAATCCGCAACGTCAGGAAGCTCACCCCGACCGCCACAACGTCGGGGCTTTCTCGGGGACCGAATCAGCTCCGTACTACTAATCCCGTCCCGACGGCGTTTTACGCGAACGAAGGGAGGATGAGATATATATTTTCATCCCCACTTTCTATTTCCCGGGAACAAGATAATGTGCTTCGTGCGGAGTCTTGTCTACCCCCGGGCCTCGGGAACTTGCGAAGTAATCTTACGGCGGGGCTTTGACCGCAATAAAATATTCGTCGTTCTCGTTTCGTAATTTTGCGGAATTGGACTCTGCATTTTTCAGCTTCTTCAATAAAATTTTAACGCGCAAACATCATCTCGTCTTTCTCCTTGCTTTTTTAGCGATGAAAAAAAATCAAATTCTATTATTCAGTACAGAGAGAGAATATTTTTTATATGTATTATATATCTTGTAATTAAATATTGTTACTTGTTTCCAAACTAATAAATATATATTTGGTCATGAGAGCCGTTCGCTAGGTGTTGTGCAGAAATTATACGTGTATATATACAGGGTGTCCCAGAATTGCCGTACAATCTCTCGTAGACAGGTAGGAGGAGTAAAACTGAGTCGAAAAGTCCTGAACCATTTTTTTCTATTATTTATAATAAAGGAGTAATTATTGAGTAAATCAAGCCAATCAGCGCAGACCTTTAGCCAGGCGCACGTCAGTGAGTGCTCACACACACTAGGCGCGCGGCTCACTGACGTGCGCCTGGCTAAAGGTCGGCGCTGATTGGCCTGATTTACTCAATAATTTACTCCTTTATTATAAATAATAGAAAAAAATGATTCAGGACTTTTCGACTCAGTTTTATTCTTTCTACCTGCCTACAAGAGATTGTACGGCAATTCTGGGACACCCTGTATACATATATACGTGTTCACGTGTAAATTTTTACACGTGAAATTCGAATTGTAATAACAATTCTAAAATTCATAT